AGTAGGTTCCCCCAGTGTTTCTAAAAATGACACATCCAGAAATTACTGAGTAACTTATGTTTTAAAAGTCTTTTACTAAGAATATATAGAGACATTGTTACATAAAGTTTGGACTGTGTGTGTTAAATACCTTAACTATTAAACAGACACCAGGTTCATATCTGATACAAAGACTGCCACTTGGAAATGATACCATTTACACAAAGCAAATCCATGATTCTGAAACATGCATGAGTAGCTTTACCCATCCAAATAATTCCACTTAATTTTGCAGGATTCCTCATGTGAGTGTTTGCACCACTGAGGTTTAAATGTATATGTCAGTAAAACATCTAAAGCAGCAAATGATTTGTAATTCTTGCTACTCTATAATATAAAAGCAGGGTTTGTTTATTTTTTATAGAGGAGGTAAAGACTGAAAAAAATCTCCTTTTCAAAATATCCCATGAAAGACAACATTAAGGTATCAAAAGAAACATTAAAAGTTTTATGTGCTTTGTTTTACTGCAAGATTTCCAGTAATCCTGTGGCCTAAACTTCAATAAGTTAAACAATCAAATTATATATATGTATAATAATAATGGCAAAACTAGCAAAATAGATCAAAATGTACAAGTAGAAAGGGTTTTGTTTAGTTTTTTGTTTAAATGCATAGGCTTGCTTATTATAAACTGTTGCCTTTACAGAGTATACACTGCAAAAATAATCAAGCTAGCTACTGGCATGTCATACAATTGTATTGTGCAATTTTTACTAACAATGTATTGTACAGTATCTTTTCTGAGTTCTATCAGCACCCCAGATAAAGTGAAACTGCTAAAATCCTCCCCCATTAAACTATCTTTTCCAAAAAGATCTAATCCTGTAACCACTGATGGACACCATCTTGGAGGCCATAATTAGCGCTTGGAAATATGGGCTGAATGCTTTGGATGAATCCCTTCCTGAATACTTAGCATAAGAACAAATAGGAACATGCCATCTCTGCTACAGTTTTATCCATCTACCACACAATTTATGCCCATATCCAGAAGCCAAACTATGATTTTTTTTTTTTTTTTTTAACTGTGAAGCCAAATGAAGTTGGATGAGTAAAGTTTTATAAGATTTTGTAAAAATCTTACAATTCATGGTGATGCAAAAGCCATTTCATAAGGTATCCTGCTTAAATGTGATGATTAAGCGGCATGGTATACTCAAATCTTTCAGTCTTTTTAATGATTTAAAAACAAAAAGGTGGCGTTTGAATCAAGCTGAAAAAAAAATCAGGCTGGCTGGACGACAATACTTTAATTCTGCGACAACTTATAAGGCTTCAAATTTTGTTTTTAATTCTAATGTGAAGAAGAAATAAAAGCTTTTAAGTGCTTTTGCCAGGGCCAGCCCACAATTTTTTGGGGCCCCCTGTGAGATATAGTCTTGGGGCTCCCTGATGTGAAGAAGCCAGTGGTGGTAGGGGAGGCCTTAGCTGCAGGGTCCCCTGTGGCTGCAGGTTTTGCAGGATAGGGTGGGCCAGCCCTGGCTTTTGCTAAAACAATATTTTACTAAAATACCCATTTTTAAAATGAGAAGATCAGATTTCAATTGGGGGTCATTCTCTGACTAAGAGGGACCAATAGGAGTGCCCTCAATCTTAAAGGCCTTCCATTGGAAAACTTGAAACCAAAACATCTTGGTGAAATTTACTGGCTTCAGTGAAAGAGCACTTTTAATTGGCAAAAACATTCCAACACCCCTTGCTATGTAACATTCTTAGCGTTAAGGTTCAATCCAAGTAATGTAGTAAGGCAGCTTAGCTGTGCCAAGCCTCAACAAAAGAAGCAGGTTAGATGGTGGTGCTTTCATGCTCCCCAAGGCATCTTATGTAACAAGCACCAAGTTTTCTAAGTAGCTTGGGATTTCATTACTCATTTTTGAATGTAAAGTCTCACTGAAATGAATGTGGCACTATTACTACTGTGAAATAGGAACGCTGGTCAGTCACATTAATGTTGTGTAGCATTATGCAGAAAATTGCATGCCACAAAAATAATATCATTGAGTCTGCAGTGAAAAACCAAGCCAGCCTTTTGCCTATGACTTGAGTAAATAAAATGCAACCAAACAGTAGCTAAATCTGACAAAAACAAGAAAACTCAAAGAGTTGAGGTCAACCTTTTGCCAAGGAAGCTCTATTAATATTGCTTTTACCCTACTGGTTCACCACTCATTTGCTCTTCCATGAAGGAGGCTTCAGAAAAGAAATGGTGCTATTCACCGTGCATTATGAGCTACAATGTCCAGGCACAATTGGATTAAGAATAGACCTCTAACTGAGATCCCCAGACGCCTTTTCAATTTTTAACTATTTCCTTTCACTTGCGTGGTTGAGTGACTCTTAAGGTATTTTAAAGTAGTTTTTTGCATTTCTTATTGATATTGCACACAAACTATTATGTGTTAACATTAAAAAAGAACAAAAAGAAACATTACATGTAAAGTGCTTGTCTTAGGATACTACCCACAAGCATCCTTGCCTCACATATTTCCTGGACCATCATACTTGCAACATCACTCCAACACTACCAAACTGCTTGTCTTAAGCAGTTCTCAAATCCAATGAGCAAATTAAAACACAAAAACAAAACACAATTTTTTTTGGATATGAAAAATACTATTTTGGGAAAAAAACAAGAGAAATGTACACATACAAGAAATGCTTATACTTTTTGCAGAAACAAGTTTTTGACTCCATTAGCTCTGGTCTGACATCTCTATTGGTAAATATGGTAAAAGACCTTCTGAAGCATGCAAAGAATTTTCTCAATTTTTATTATGCATACAAAATAGACATCTATTAAAAGGCTTGTATTTCCCCTAAACTCATATTGTAAACAATAATTAACTGATGCATTATGTAGTAACACTGAACTATGAAATGCGCATTTCATTTTATAATTTACATGAAATGTAGGTTCAACAATTTTACATAGCAGAAAAATGGCATTTTGTATATCGATTTAAGTGGACATTGCACCTACCCAACTGATACTGACGCACACAATGTATGTGCTATCTTTATAAGTGATTCTTTGCTACTTGATGACTGATGAGTACCCAAATCTCTAGAGCTTGAGTCCTCTGTGACACATTTTAAATAGCTGTTAGAAGTTGAATGCACATGGTGCTTGCAGCAACTCAGCAGAACTGTATATTACTTTGCAGGTGATTATTTAATTCTGAAGAATATAAGTACTGATAGAAATGACAGCATAATTCCTCATTTTAAAATTTGATATAGGAAATGCAGCTTTCCAGAAAGTATATCCACCCACTTGAAAAAAATTGTGTGGCAGACAACCCTGACAGGCTCAAGAGTGGAGAAAGAATATCCTTTTATTAAGTGGAGTAGAAATGAAAAGAATGATCACTATTAGATGTTTGGCCCAACTGAAATTAATAAAAGTGTGCGCATATATGCACGTGCACACTTTTTGTTTACTTGTTTATTTTTGTTAAGGGATTTTATAACAATGGCTTATGGAAAAATGTCAACATAACTAATTCGATAAAAGCTGACAATCTAGAAAATGCATATGTTAACTCAATTTAATTTAAAATTTCTACAGTGTTGTACATTTTCTGGTGCAGTGTATTCAGATTTCTAATGTCAATTACCGGCCATGATATCTTTGTATATAAAGACATAAAGGGCTTTTTAAAAGATCCTGAGCAATTAAACAAATACACAAATTATGTTGAAGTTATTCATATAAAAACGAGGTCATATAAAAGGCAAAATTCAAGGGATTTCACTAGGGATGGATTATTTTAACACCCAAACAAAATTCACACATTATATATTTGACTGATCCTCCAAACTAAAATATTTTACCTACAGTAAAGGTGTGTGGAGTGTGGGTTATCAAAACCAAAAATATGTTGTTGTTATTGCATACATTTCCATAACATGTAGACACTATTTTTCTAAATTATATTTTTTCCAGCATTTAAGCCAAAACTAATACTTATCACAATTTAGTTAAGTAAAATGGAAGCAAGTCTAAGTGAGGCAAATCAAAACTGACAGCTACTCAAATAATACATGCATAAAAGTATATTCAAACTTCATGTGCTCAGGAAAAAGCAGACTCTCAGCAAAGCCCCTGAATCACAGCACAAAAAAGCAGAAACCTTTAAAAATATATATATTTTTAGTGCATGACTGATTATACTGTCAATACCTTTCACTTATAGAATGGAATAATAAACTAAGTGATGCCTCAGTGTCACTTCCTTCCTACTGTCCCCTCAGGCATTTCTGGGCATTTCCAATCCATTGGGATGAGTCAGAAACAGACCACAAGCTCAAAGCACTGACAGGTACAGAGAATCATTCCACTGCATAACAGTTTGCAATACAGATTTTGAAAGAGTATTAAAAATGTGTGTAATATTTTGATTTATAGGGACTATTGCAGACATGTGACAACCAAACAAACAAAATGATTGCTTAATTCCTTGCAAGTTCTGAATAAGCAGCAACAAAAAAAAGCCCACTTGTGGTACTTTCTACTGAAAAGAAAAGGTCACAGCTCAGGCACAGAAGACTGACTTTTACTCAACAACACACATTAATTATCAACTTGAACTTATGAAGGAGCATTTATTTCCTCCAGAAAGATTTTTTTGACAGGCAAAAGCATGTTTTGTATAAACAAAAGGATTTTGATAGAGCTATCCTATCACTGTACAATACAAAGTGTTTTAACAAAAGGCTTGCAACAGTAAGAATCAATTAACTGCACCTGAAATATTAACCAGGTCTATAAACCTTGTCTGGTTTAAAAGCTACAGTACCATTATAGCTTCCTTTTATGTCTTATCAGCAAAAACAGACAGATAAATATGCAGTAGAAGAATAATGCCTTAATATCTGCAGAAGACTATCTAGAGGAAGGTAAAAACAATACTAAACATTTATCACAGAAAAAGAAATTGTGAGGTTATATAAGACTTACTTTGAAAATGCTCTGAAGCATAGTAATAAACATCCTCATAGCCCTCATGGTAATCCTCCTCTGGTCGGTACTTCTTGCCTTTTCTTCTTCTCGACCTCCTTATCTGCCTGACAAAGCCCAAGAACCGTTCCATCTCTTTCACCTGCACACAGGATCAGCCCAGTTTACCTTTTGCTGGTGTTAGCCAACAGCTAAGCTTCACAAAAAGCTGTCTGAGCATTAATGAACAGCAAAGAGAGATGTGGAACTGGATCCTTTGACCATCCACTCCAATAATATGAAAGAAAAACAACAGTTTCAGCTCTGACGAGGAAACATATTGTTTTACCTTTAAAAAGGACCTCTATCCAATCCATTCATTGGAATATTTTAGAATGAAAAGAAGCTAAAGGAGGGAAATAACAATGCAAAAAGGGAAATACAATCTCATGCAGGTTTTTAAAAGAAACAGAACAAAGTTCAAAAGATCTGCCTGCCAGCAAGAGGAATCCCAGCACTATAATTTCACTATCCTACGTCTCCATCATTTGAAGAGGGGCTGGGGGGCGGGGATACACATTAGTCAATGGACTGAACCATATCTGAAGACAAAACGGGTTTTCTGTAGCCTGTTAATCACTACTCTAATAATAATTGTGGCACATGCTCAAGACCCCGTTTGATGTAATTTGTTCTAAAGACAGAAGCCACAATGATGCATCTCCGAAATAAACACATCCTGGATGAATAAACAGCAAAGTGGTTTAATCCATACACACAGCCCACTCACAGACAAGTGTGTATGCTGAATGTGTTAATTGGAGCAGCAGGGAGAAAGCTGGGCAGCTGCTTAAAATGACACGTTTACCCACTGGGCATTAGTGTATTCCAATCATTGTTTGATCTAAATATTAAAATGCACTTCACAGACAGGCTCTTCATAGATCCAGTAAGGCTATATGGAGATAGGCAAACAAAGAAAGCTGCATCAGGAGCACACTATACAGAACTCAGCTAAAATCCTAGCTAAGTTGTAAAACTTCAAAATTATGCTCCAGCAAACCAGCTGTGCACCAACTAGAACTATTTGTTTTGTATAAAGCCTAAAAATGTGCACAGCATTTTTCTGGTTACTTGTCTGCATTCCACCAACATTCTCCAAGATAAGGCAGGAATTTCACAAGCACTTATGACAAAATCCTCCTCCTTTACAAGAACAAAAACAATGTCCACGCACCTCCAGTCAGATGAACATTTATCACAGAATTTACTTCGTAACCCCCTCGGACAAACTGAGTAACAGCAGGACACCACCATCCTGCTGCTGCAAGTTTGGAATGCAATCAATCATATCCATCAAATTATCTGGTAAGCATAATATCCAGAACCCAGGCATCCATGAAATGCCACGCCCCCCCTGACAATTAGGAAATCTTCAGTTTTCCTATAAAATCCATTTTATAGGAAAATCATCTGAGAAACAGCAGTCTATTCCTAGTGATAAAGACAATGATTCACTATTTTCTGTAAAGCGGGTTGAATTTTGACCATATTTGAGCAAATATTTAAACACTAAGGCACATTATGGTTTCACTTAATTGTGCAAAGTTGTAGAATGTATAAAGCTACTAATACACAAACACTTCCAAAATGGAACTATTATTTGGTGGGGTGACAATGTAGCTGAGAGTCCATTGTTTCAGGCCTGCCTCTAATCTTCTGATTAGTTGTCACAAGAATGATGTTTCATTCTGGCATTTGATTTTCACACTTCTAACAATTTTAGGCCTATATGTATTATGGTATCTCGGTGCATAAAGTCACTCAATCATTGATAGCAGGCCAACTGAGCAAATGCTTGTCAAAAGGGACCCCTGACTCAGTAGCCACCTAACTGCTGCCACCTTACCTCCTCAACCCCATCTCCACCCCAAGAAGTCACACAGTTGACAAAGTTAGCTCCACTCTACCCAGAAAGTGGGAACTATTCCTACTACAAGCAGAGGGGCTACAGGTAAGTTCAGTCATGCCAACAATACCTGGGAAACTACTATTGACTCAACCTGGCTTGGTCTCCAAGCTTCTTCTGACCACCAGCAACAAGTAACTGAATGGGTGGAACAAACGGAGGCCAGTTTCTGGTGGAAGCAGGAGAGGAAACAAAGTTATGAACAAGAAAGAATAGGAATTTGGGACATGGTATTCTTCCTCCTCCTTCCCTAATCTCCCCAAATCCTGGCAAAATCCTGTACATGCCTGAGCTCCCTACTGAAACATATTCAGTTTCTTCATACCCTGTGAGAGGAATCCCAGTTTTTCCACTCTGGAAATCTCACCACTGTAGTAATTTGATTAACATACTGAAGGTACCACCAGAATTAGTTTTAGTGCAGTATCTCAAATGGAGACCATCTTTTGTTATACAGACTGAGTTTGTGTAACAATGCAAAAGAAAATCAGCTGAATGGCACGTTGTATCTAAAAACCAAACAAAACAAAAAACCAAACCAAACAAAAAACATCTTAGGCATTTTTTAGAACAGTTCCCTAAAGCTCCTGCATATTCCAGAGGTCTTAATTAGCTTTCTTTTTTTTGCCACGCTGCTTCCAAATAGTAAAAACATTCAATTAATATTATCATAGTTTTTTGACAAACATTTAAGGTATTATAGCAGCTGGGATAGTGGAGAGCAAGGCTTTGTTATTATCAGGGACCTGGGTTTTCTCTTCACAATAGAAAAACGTGGTAAAATCCAGATTTTCTCATTTTAAGGAGAAAATCCCAGCTCTTCTCCTTTAAAGGAGAAAAACATGGGAAACAGTTTCCTCTTGCAGGCTGGCAGAGTAGGAAGAAGGGGAATCAGGCAGGGGGCACCATGTGCATGTGCACACGTACACATGCACAAAGCCACCAGGTAGCATGGGGAACAGCTCCCTACAGGTAAGTCAGGGAGGAGGGCGGATTGGGCCCCCCATAGTGAGGGAAGAAGGGAAGGGAGTTGGGTAGGGCTGGGACCCCAGCTGGGACTGGGGCTGGGGGTGCTGCCCAGTCCAGGCAGTGTGGGGGGCTTGGGGCCTGGGGGCAGAATGCGCAGCCACAGGGCCCACGTGTGGAGCAGATCACAGCTACAGGTGGCTCTGCGCTACTGCACGCACTTCTAGGGGGTGTCGTGAGGAGCACGTGTCCCCCAGATTTGTGCACGGGGTGGAAGCAGATGTGGGCTGCCCACTACAGGCTCTCTGCCCTGCTGCCCTCCCCCTGCGGCCTCCATGGTCCAGCCCCAGTGCAGCCCAGCAAAGTGGGGTGGACAAGCTTGATGCCTCCACCACGAGCCCTGTGCCACCATGGAGAAGCGCCACCTGCCTGCCCAGCAACAGCGGGGGTGGCAAGGCGGAGTTGTGCCCCTTGCTGCTGCTGGGCGAGCAGGGGGCGTTTCACCATAGCAGCACAGGGCTTGTGATGGCGCCATTGAGCTTTCCTGCCCTGCTCTGCCCTGCCGCACCGGGGCTGGGTTGTGGAGGCTCTAGGAGGAAGCCAGTTCCATTGTCCTAAACAGTAAATGCACATTCCACGTGCATACAAAAGAGCTTTCAGTGTATCCATGACAAGTCACAGATAAAAACAAGCAAACAAACAGGAGGAGAAAATGTAGTAGTCAAACAATCTTTACTAGTTTAATGAACAGCAGTTTTAGCATACCAACTGCCAAACCATTTGCTAGGGAAAACTGATTTTGCTTTTTCAGAAGCTCAATATTTAGCCAAATATATACTGAGCTTGTAAAATAATTTTCCCCACCTCACTATGCTTGTATGGATTCATTATGCATGCATGTGGCTAACAAAAATAGTGAAAAAGTGTACTTAATATACTGTTTCCAAAAGCTAAGAAAAGGGGTTCTATACATCTTGTTAGATATGAGAAATCTGAGGGTAGACACCTGCAGAATTTAAAAAATAAGCACAGGGGGGCATACTGAAACACATCAGCTCAGAGATTTTCAGCAAGGGTGCTACAGTACCCAGAGTTGCCATGAGATCTTTTTAAGATCTCTCACACACAGTATTAGCGTTGTTAGGTTTGCAAACACCTATGCATGATTCACAAGATAAACCCAGAGGGCATGTCCAGATGATCACATATATGCATTTCCCTAGGGACAAACAGCAACGGCACATAGCTGTGCCACTGCTACTTGTCCCTGGGGAACACCCATGCACATGTGCTCTGGCACGCAGCAAACTGCCATGGGTGGAGTAGGGTGTGCTGGGGCCAGCAGCCTTAGCTGGGGTTCTGGGGGCCTTCCAAGGCTCCAATGACAGCAATCTGGCAGTAGGTGCCTAGCTCGTAGCCAGAGTGTGACTCTGGATAGCCAAGCTCCAGTTTTGGGCAGCACATGCTGCCGCCATATGCCATGCCCAATTTTTTCTAGTGCAGGATTTTTTTGACACCGGAGTCTCCTTGTGTCAGCCCCCCAACCCTCCTCCCCCACACACACTGAAAATCAGCAGCGTGGGGAATGCCTGCATGTGTGGTGTGTGTGGTAGGTGGCACCGCACATAGGTTTGCAGCACCACATAACCACAGCTGCGTGCTCATCTGGATGCGCCCAGGGTTTTAAATAGGAATCCACAGTGTCAGAGACATTCTGTCCTGTTCTGGTCTTTGAGTTCTTGGCAACAAAAGAATTGCTCTGTTACTATTATTTAGGGCTGCCAACCCTCCTGGATTGACTGGGAGTCTTCCAGAATTGGCATCGATCTCCCAGTGACTACTGAAAGCAATCCGGAAGATTGATATTGTGAACGGGCTGAACAGTACAATTAATGATATTACGTCATGTTGGGAAAAAAATCTCCCGAAATAGCTTCAGTCAGAGTTAGCAACCCTACTATTATTTTTTCTGCAGTCAAAAAATGAGTGAAAGCAAAGAGCTGGCATTTTTCAAGGGATACCGTCAATTTAATGAGGGATGCCTTAAGTCTAAAAAGGTTGAAAAGCACTGCATTATTATTTTCATCATTTCAACAACTTTTATTGACAGAGGCAGGTTCTCATTTATAAAACTAGCAGTACAGAGAGAAAAATTATACCGTATTAAAAGAGGGGGCAAGGGTGACTAACTGGATATTAGCCGCTCTGTGGTAACTGCTTCATTAGTTGGTTACCTTATCCTTGTTTCATTAAGGTTAAGCTACTCCACTTTAGTTTTCAGAATCACAAGATACGGCTGGACATCTAAACAGATACACCAGAATACCTGAATAGAAGATAACCCTTTATTTCTTTAAGATGGTATAATTTCTTTGTCTGTCCACTCCCTTCTGGAGCTGGAATAGGGTTTTATGGTTTCTAGCGAAAATGATAACTGTTTTGCCAAGAATATTTTATTCCTCTGATTCATTTAAAAATAAGTTTTATATTTTGTTGCTATTTTTATTTTTGAAGTTAGACCATTTTGAGAATTTTGTTGCTATTCTCTTGTAACTAAATCTTCTAGTGTTAAATGCAAACCATAGCAATGCACAGAAAAATGTTGTCATCACCTATCTAATTTCTCATGGGGGGCTATTTTTAAGATGCTGAGCCAATTTCCTGTATTTCTAATTTTACACAATACTTTACATTTAGAAGTAGTAGTTTAAATTTGTTAAAGACATGCAGCAGATTTTATACTTAACTACACTACAATTATAACTTCAAATCTAAAAAAAACAAATGGCAACAGTTGCTCCTAAATATACATTTTAAAGCAAGGGTTCACCATGTAAGGTCAAAACTTCTATGTGGATTGTTAACAGGTATTGAAGATGCAACCCCTCTGCCCTTCTCATATTGCTAAATGAAAGAGGGAACAAGGTATTGTAACAGAAAAAGTGACCACAAAGGGAAAAAAAATGGTTTTGAATCTCAGTCTTAGAGACAAAAAATATGTTAAAGAACTGCAACTAAAAATACTACATAACAATTTGAAACTTTTTAAAATATGAAAAACCTTAAAGAACAACCCCCTCCCCCCCCCTCCACACACACACACACACACACACACCTGTGAAGCATCATGCATCTAAAATGGGGTGGGTCCTATACTGGATTATATAAGAAAAATTATAATAATTAAAATATATTTCAAAATGCATAAGTACAAAGGAGAAAGTGTTAAACTTGTTTGACAGTTCTGACTATTGAGTGAGTCACTGTGACTTAAAGCTTCTAATGTAAGAAATATATATTTTGTACAACACATATAGCATTTAATGCTTTGACTGCTTTCAACAGTTCTTTCAACCCACCATTAATTAGCCCTCACAGTACAAC